TGCTTTGTCAACGTGACTAACCTTTTCTACCAGAAGCTGAGCACTTACTCAAATGGTAATGGAAGTGAACACAATTTGTGCTGGTGCTGAATCAACTTCTCAGACTTTAATTTGCATTTGAATAAGACTCCCATTTTTTTCAATATGAAACATATTTTAATAGTGCTTCAAGACCCTAAACAAACTGACTTACAGCTATAACCATCAATTTCAAAGTATTTTGATTTCTTCATGATAGGCAACTCTAATAACACTGAGCAGCTTTTTATATTTACACATTTTCTTCAACGGGTGAGCAGAATCTGGAGAGGCATTAAAATAATCTAGAGCTCTTGCATTAAACTGTTATACCAACTATTTCCATGTTCAGATCCAAACTGACTGTTTGTACCATTGTGCCAATGCAAATTCATCTCTCAACTTACCATAACTGACCAGGGCTTAGAGTTCATAACTTTTAGAGACTTAATACTCTCCACAGCCATCAGCAGACATGCAGACACTTTCCTATTTTTATTCCTCCACAACACTTAACAATCAGATAGATGCACCTAGTGTTTATCAGCAGAACAGAATGGAAAATAATATTGAAAGTATTCTAATGTTGCTTTATATAATCAACGCAGTGTCTGAACTTGGACTACTGGATTTAATTTTGGTCCTCCTATCTCAGATAAAGCATAACTGAAGTGAGACAGAGACACGCAAAGGTCATTTGAAGAGCAGGCACTTGATGCAGGATGTCAGAGCTACAAAAAAAGAAAAAAGGTACAGAGAAGAAACAATATATTCTTTTTTCCTACAAGAGGAGAACACCACCCATTGAATCTGAGGATCTACAAAATCAGTTGTATATGTCCATCAACATTCCAAATTGCTAAATGCATAAATATGCAAAGAGAATGTCCATACCTACATTAGAAAAAATGAAAGTTGTGAGCATATGATCTCAAGTGAACCAATAAAGCTTAAGACTGAGTTTTAGGCAGGTCATTTCCATGTTTGCTGTAAGTGTTATTTCACTCTTCTCCAACGAATCATCTACAGAAGAATAGATTAAATATATGTGGTTGTCCCAAGTGAAATTTGACATTATATACGGCTGGTATCTTTAACAAACATTTTTTCTCATTCAAGTAAAAGATTTGTAAGTCAGATACATTTTAAATTATACATAGCATGGTATTGACAAAGGCTTTAAAAAGCATGAAGTCATCAGGTACAGACATCCAAAAATCAGATCCACTATGGACACTACTTTCGCCAAGAAGGGAACATCACAAAGAATTTCTATCCTGAACAGCACAGGACTTCCTGTCATCTGAGATGTAGTATTAGTGAGTATAATACTAGTGTGTAGTATGCATGGTTACATTTCGACAGAATATACAGCGTATGTCACTTGAAGGGTTTATGTGACAATAACTTACGCCTTTGTCTAGCAACAGTAAATTCTATTAGTTCCAGCATAAATTGCAAGTACTGGAAAAGCATTTGTGCAACATTCAGAGATGCTTTCAAAATAGATAGGATTTTCAGAGCTTTTAAAATAACCAATAGTGCAGTGAGCCACTAGCTAACAAAAGTGTTAACATAAAACGTGCACAAACACCACCACTCCTACGTGTTCCAGGTATCTCCTTCCCTACAAAGGAAGGTGAAGAACTGAAAGAATAAGCAGGAAATTGGAGAACATCTAACAGGCAGAAATGGAAAAATTTGTACTGAATATATTGGAATAGTAACACTTTTATTGTTTTGACCACATCCAACCAGCTGATTAAAAACTGAAATACAAGATAATCCGCTCGGTAAGTGCTCTCAAAAGCCTACCAGAGAGTAATGATTACTGCTGTGCTGTTTAGAAAAAGAAATCCAAAATGACAAGAAAAATAAGCTAAACTCATCGCAGAAGAACGAAGGGCCAGATGCAGAAGACACTTCCACCTGTAAGAAAATTAACAATTACAAGGGATGCCCTGCTGTACAGAAGTTCCCATTGGGGCAGGAAGAGAAAAATTACCCTGTCCTCTGAGTCTCCCTGAAAACAGAACATCTCTGAAGCTAACACATAACAGCTGATACAGCTGTTAGGAACAATAAAAATACAGCTTATCAACTAAAAAACCTATCATTTCACCATGTTCCTGAGTATAAGCTAAGCAGTGCCTGGGCATAAGACATCTCCAGTCTGCACAAAATACACAAGATATGCTGTCAAGTTTTACATTTCCCACTGAAATACCTGGCACAACTGCCACAGGCAGAGAATTTCCCCATAAAGCAACTGCCTACATTTAAAACATTTTTTTCATGATTTTCCTTTTAACAATCATAATAGTGCACTCCCAAATAAAAGGCATTTTAACTAACTATATCACAGTGGTTTGAAGAGATAATGACAAGACTTGACAGCATCTAGCATGTTAAAAATCAGTAGTCATACGCTACACTTATCAGGCTAGTAAAAATGTCATCATAGGAGTAAGAAATGGTTCGTGACTTCACCCAAATTTGAGCAGTTTTTCAAGAAATCAAGGGGCAAGGGGAGTTCTGCTACAAAAAACAATGTTCCCTCATGTGGCCTCGTCTTCCTCAACTGCACCGGATACACTGCATACAGGGTGGTGAAATATTAAAAAATTCACTAATTCTTGACAGAAACAGGCTTGGATTTTTATTTAAAAGCGTGTTAAAAATACATTGTTTCTGGGCTAAAATTTAAGGGCAAGAATGGACCCAGGAAAGCCTGGTATACACATACATGCCAGTCTGTATCAAGCCCTGATCTGAACTGCAAGTGAAAGAGATGACACGCTGTGCAGCCACAATCACATGCGACAAAAACCTACTGGTATTATTAATGGGGAAAGTCCATCTCTCCCATGCCTCCCAAAAAGTCCACACATGGGTAGACATGCATAGTTTCTTGCATGGAGAATGTACACTCTCGACACCTGAGAATCTGGGAGGTGTGGTGATGGGCCCAGGAGGAGGAGGGGATTTCCTACCGGTACCTGAGGTCCAGGGAGCTGCAGAGTCCATGTATCCGTTTGTCTTTGTTCATGCTCCTCAGGCACTTAGAACCAGAAATCATTTTTTCTTTGACCATTATCACAAAGGCAAGCACAGTTCTTTATCTATGCAGTTCTCTTTAGATTGAGGCATGCTTCGTATCTGTTCTCTCAACCTGCTATCTAAAAAGGGAGACACACTAGACAATGAGGAAGAGGAGCTGAAAGAACATGTAGGCTATATCCAACAAGAACCTGGTGACCAGAGAGTATCTTATACTTTCTATGCTGCTTCCACATATTCACTTGCAGTTTGGGTACCTCCAAACAGTACCCCTACACAACTTACTAGAGCATTTGTTCTCTGCAACCAGGAATAGATACCAGAATTGTTCCCTCAGAGGTACACAGAGGGAAAACAAGCCTCAGTCTGATCAGAGTCGATCCGAGAACTGATTCAAGCTGGGTGCTATTTTTACACTGGTTATTTCCTTTCACTGTGACATCGAGCTCCTCTGCATCTAGTCCTGCAACCCAAAGCCCATATTATTTGTAAAATCTGGTATTTTACCAAATTAACTGGTTAGACCAAAGTGCAAGCTTGGTACCTGGTGTCTAATTAAAGGAGCAGATGAGAGAACATTGAGGAATAGGGCCAAGTGTCCTAGGACAGACTAGGTAGAGGTCCAAGCTACCCCTTTTCATAAAGGCAGAGGCTTAGATCTTCCATTACAGCATACAGAAGTTACTCAACATTAGTATAACAATTCACGTCAGAATTCTGAAAAAGTCACTTGCTTTTTTCTTTGGCATCAGACAGAGAAATTGTTGAGGAAATATATGAGAAAGAAGGATCTGTGAGTCAATCATAGCATGACACTTGGAAAAACCCAAGTCTCTGCTCTTTTCTTTCATTACCTTGGCAACTCATTAACTTTTCTTTGCCAGAGTTTCCCCCTTTTATAAAATGAAGAAAGGTTTATCCGATAGGGGTGCTCTGAGAATTGTTAATAGCTGTTAGAAGAGCGTAAATAGCTATTAAGTGCCCAGACAGAATAAAGAAACCACCAAAGAGGGAGAGAATTATAAGCATGATTCCCAATTGCATTACTGATGAGACTCACTAGTCTCTTTTTCTCTTAAGCTAATAGTTTTCCCCATTCTTATTTTCAAAGTAAAACTGGAATGCGTTTGAACAAAAAACTTTGGCCTTAGGACTTAACTTCCACAGCAAGCAAACAGACAGCAATGTACACTACACATTCTCTGGGAGCTCTTTAAAAAATAGGATGAGACACAGGAACAAAACAGGTTCAATGACCACAGCACACAACCTGGTGCTGCCCTATTATTCTGAAATAAAAGTCCATCAGGCAAGGATATTTTCTTTTTTTAAGCAATTTACAAATCTAGGAAGAAAAGGGAAAGGGAAAAAGAGGTAGAAAAAATGTCGATAGTACTACTTCTGTTCCCAGGGGCAGTAAAGTCAGCTTGAATTTAGAAACAGCAAGCTGAAAAAATTAGGCACAAATTTAGTAATTTTAAAAGGGAAATTCCCCTCCGAAACTGTAGATCAAAAAAAGAAATTGTAACATCAACCCCATTTCACAATTCAGAACAATATTCAAAAAGCAATGTGAAAACAGGTCATAACGTTTCACCATTCATGCTTCTCTGGAACAGCAGCTTTAGCATAATATCCAGACCTTGTTAACAGCCTAATAACTGCAAACCTCCCAACTGAATATAAGAAACAGCACACAATCTTAACGATTCCTTTTTAACAATAAAGGAATTCTGTAATAAGTTCTGCAATTAAGAAGATAAGCATATACATGATGTTTCTCTAATGAAAGAAAATTAACAGATGCTAGAATATCCCCTGGTTAGCTTTAGCAGACAGAATAAAAATCAACTCCCATCCCCAACCCTTATGCTTTCCTACAAGACACACTGAGGAGCCATAAAAAAAACAATATCCAGCTATACAGTGGCACAGTTTAATTAAGACAAACATTCGGTTCTAATTGCAAACCTTTTCCATCTCCATGATTCATGTTTCTCACAAGTCTTCTCCTCTCTATCTTTCCTGCTTGTTCAACGTGAATGCAAAAATACTTCTTTCACGTAAAAGACCGTGGTGTTTGTTAGGGTTCTTCTAGTTTGAACTTTGTGCTTAGCACCACACAGTTATAAATATCACAGTAAGCTGCAAATGTCTTTGTTATTTGAAGAGATCAAGAGTCCTGTGTTTTACTACAGACTTACCTCTACATTACTAAATATTACAAATATTTTAGTGTTGGAGAAAATTAGTAATTGGAGAGGGGAACACAAGAATAAAAGTTGTACATCAGACCCTTTGTCAAACTCAATGCAGAGAATCAGGAAATTAAACTGTCAGTATCCCAAAAAGGTGTGACACTATTACCTATAGCAGTACAGAATGGTCACTGCAACTTCTGCATTGCGATAGGCAAGTAATGCAAAAATGAATACCTGCAAGAAATCTGGAAAAGCTGCAATCAAAAAACAATTTCCTCTATAACCTCCAAGATCTTCCAAGTAAATAATAAATCCTATCTGGGAACACACATTCATCTAGTGAGTGCTATTTCCAATCAAATTTCAGTTAGCAGAAGGTGGTTGATGATTTTTTTTTTTATTATTACTAAAAACTTTTCCTTTGATAGATAATTTCAGAAGCGTGTAAAGGTGACCAGCTTATGCAAAATGCTGATGTTTGCCTCACCCAAGCTATTTCCACACAAACTCTGAATTGCAGCGCTTATCTCCTCAAAAGAAGCAGATTTTTCACCCTTAGATATCACAGATATAAAAATTACATTGTTTACAATTATTCTAAACCATCTCTCTCTATGGAGCTTTCTCTGTAGAGGTTACTCGAGAGAGACTGATATAACCATGCTGCAGAAGAATTTCTATATAAAATTTTAGTTGATCCCTTCTAAGGGCATTCAAAGTTATCATCACACAAGTCAAGTCAAAACCTGAATTTAAGGCACTTCATTAGTAAGCTGCTTTTTTAAAAATAGATGTTATTCTAACTGATCTTCACATTTTTTCTGCAAATTTTTCTTGACTTACCCACAAACTAACAAACAATCACTAGACAAATACAAGCCTTGGAATAAGTTACATAGTTCTGACTATGCATGAGGCAGACCAAAACCAGAATTCTTCCCAGGCAATACACAATGATCTAAAATATTTTCTCATACTTTGTGCTTATCTTTAAAGATAGAGGTATGACATGGAATAAGACGACAACACTATTGTTCAGAAGTTAGAAGAAACAGAGGGAAGAGAGGAGAGCTCTGAAGAGAAGTTGCACGAATAGCTATTAGACTTTTGCTCTTCCACCAATTTACTCCAAATGGCTCTTGTTAGAAAGAAGACTGGACATGTCAACAATTTGTTTTCAACAACTTGATTCTTGCAGTGCGTTGCCATATGTAAGGGCAACTTCTTTCAAAACACAGTATTTTACTGTGCTTCAGCAACTTAAACAAAAATAGTTTAGAAATTCAGGGTAGTATTTACTGAGTAATATTTTCTCCAGCAATCAAATTTAACCCAACCAGTGAATCCGTTTATGAATTAAACTACAAAAAATGTTAGAGACAGGAATGAAAATAATTTTGAAAGAATTATCTGGGAAAGTCTAATAAGCATTAGTATGGAGCGTAGCAAAACTTTGAGAATACAGTATTTGAATGATGAAATGAAAAAGCTAGGTATCAAAAAAAAAAAAAACCTCCAAAGCTGAAAACCTGCAACAAGCTTTCTTGTCCTATATTCTGAGCATTTGTTCTTTTTTAGCGATTATCATCACTGTGCAAGCCAAAAAAATATAAATAGTCTGAGGAATTATCTAAGAAGCATTCAGCTAGATCTTGCCGAGTCAGTAATGCACTTGATGTAGGTTAGCATATAACACCATTTTTATTCTACAATTTCATTATGTACACGTTATAGGTAAAAATATAGATGTAAACCCATTAGGTTATACTCGGTACTACTGCAGAAGGTTTTGCTTTCTGTGTGCACCATTCTTAAAATCAGAAAAATCAAGGTAGTGAGAAAGTCCATTATTCAATGTTGTAAAAAAAGTTGTATCTCAAAGCCAGTCTGGTTTGCTCTTGTTTAAAGGTTTAATATTTCTGTTTGAAAGGTCAGTATAGAACGTTAATAAGTCCAACACTATAAACAGGACTTTTGACAACAACTTTTAGTCAAAAATCAAACCCAATATACAATGAAGAAGCAAAATACAAAAGCTTTTGCATTACCAAGGCGCAGGAAAAGCTCAAAAAGTATTTAACATAAACATATTTAGCTCCAAACATCTTGCAAATATCGTTTTGCTTCTCGAAGCATGGCCAGGATTTTCATTGCTTCCAATTTGTCAACTCCCATCTCCATGCTTAAAATGTCCACTACAGCATCACTTACACCATCAGCCATGTGCTTCTTATCTCTAGAAAAAAAATGAAGGAGAAAGACATGCATAACATTCCTTTTACCAACAGCTTCAGAACAAGGCTTTTTTTTTTTTTAGTAAACAAAGAAATATATCTTCTAAATTGGATAGCAATATTTACATTAGGTTGTCATGAAACTGAGCATTGATAACAAGGGTTTCTCTCAAACAAACATTACAAAGCTTTCAGTACATTGTAATTTATATGAAAAGCCTTGGCTTCCTAGTTGAGCTTTCACAGAATAACTGTTTTATTTTAGGGATAAGTGGACCTGCTGAAGTATTTGCCATTATATCATCATATGATGCCAACAAAAAAAAAAAAAAAAATCACTTCTTAGTAATAATGTTATTTTTAATATAAATAGCAGGCACTTATTTCTGCAGGGGAAAGTACTGATGTTGGGCTTTATGTTTAAATGCCTGTCAATTCATCAACATACTCCCTGAAAATCTCAACCCTCCAGGTAAGTTAGCATCTCCAAACAAAACTTCCCCCTATAAAATATATTATTATGGAGCTTTCAAGTTCTATAAAGGCAACAGAAATTTGGAATCTGGAACGAAATTTCAAATTTCTACATCTAGGTAGCATCCTGAGCCATTCTATCTCCAAGTCTGCAAAGCAGCAGAGGACTGCTGCTATCTATCTCACAGCTGTGCAGTTTATCATGTATTCAGGTATCTCATTTTCTCAGGAGCAATCTATTAGCTTGAGAGAGTAACCTATTAGCTTGAAAACTTCTGTAGTTTAATTGCACACTAGAAGCAGAAACAATAAGCGACTAAAGCAAGCTGTGGAACCATATAATGCCTTTAAAAGCTATATTGTAAAACTAGACATAGCAGACAAAATCTGGCATTCTAGCAAGACTATTTTCAGTATCACGTTCATCTTTTCTTTCAGACAGCTCTAAGTCTTTCTAAAGCCTCAGACTTCTGCTAACCGCACTCTCTTTGCTGAGATGCTCCATCTCCCCACATTCCACTCACCCACATACATAGAAGTAACCTCTCTCCTTCATCAGGACTCTGGCGACTTCCTTAGCATAAAGCCTAACGACATCTTGCACGTATTTAGGTGGCGCTACCTCCGCAGCTGGCAAGTCTCTTGAGAAACAAACCTTAAGATGAGTTAATGTGCCATTTTCAAGAAAACATTTGAGCTCATCTCTGAAAGGCAATAAAAAGTGTCAGCAATGGGTTTGAGATAATGTTTATCTCATAAATACAAGATGAGATACAGAATATTAAGTAATGAACTTGCTTGAACAAATAGTCTCTATCCTGATGCCGACAACCAAAAAACAGCCATGTCTCTCCAAATTTCCAGTCTGTGTGTTCTTCTCTGAGCTTTTGCCTAAAAAGAGACCAAAAAAAGCAAGCATATATGGATAGCACGTAAATCCAGTCCTGTTCTACTAATAATGAAAAATCTAAAACTCCTAGAACCTAACTGTTACTTTAGCAGTGCTCTAATAAACCTCTAGATCAGCAGAAATGTACAAAGGCTTAATGTAAACCACAATCAAACCCTTCAACTCTGATTTTCTTGAGTACTCACTTTTGGTCCAGGGTACCATCACTCAACTTGAAGTTTTTTTTGCCTCAATTTCATATTGGAATCAAGATGATGCTTCTGAACATCCTACCCACAATTCTGACTACTGAATAAGAAGATTCCTATCCCTTATCCTTCACTAGAAGCATGGTAAAAACACCTAGGGAAAATTCAACACATAGTATTTTTATCATGCTTTTCATCTACTTGTACAAACCAGCAAGACTTTATGAATAACCATCTATTTGCTACATCACCAGGAGAGTTATTGTGTTGTACTTCTTGAAATAACGCTAAAAAGAATACAACAATTTTAGCTGTGATTTTCTGGTTATGTTTTCAGAGATTTTATGTATCATCGATCAAATGCTTTTGAAACACTGTGAACCCTTCAAAATAAAATCCGAACTATATCTGAAAGATAAACAAATATCAGGGGGTGGAAAATATGGAGTAAGGATTGTAAATAACTATCTGGTTAAAGTAGAAGTATGGAGTCAGAGGTATCATCAAAATTTAACCTCTCTCTCTAACAGAAGGCTTTTAAAATAGTTGTTACAGGATGCAAGAAACCTCTTTATCTTGCTGGCTGGACTAAGTTACATAGGAATGGGATAAGATACATTTGTTACCTACGAAGCTTGCAATGATTCTCATGCAGCCTGGGAAACAAGCAGGAGGAACTAAAGCTCCACATGCAGTCACAGAACTGCATCATGTGAATAACTGAGACATGGTGGAACAAATAGCAACTGAAGATCAGGGAGGGACGGATGCATGCTCTTCAGGAGAGGTAGGGATGGTAGGGAAGACAGAGAGGGGTTTGCTCTTTACATGAAGGAGCATCTTAAATGTATGGAGCTCTTCTATGGGACAGAAGACAGGGCGGATGATAGCTTATGAATTAAGAGCAGAGGAGTGGCCAGTAAGAGTGACATCACGGTGGAATTTTATTACAGACCTACCCCTTCAGGGTGAGGAAGTAGATGAAATCTTCTCTAAACAACTTGAGGAAGCCTCTAAATCACTGACTCTGGTTCTTCTGAGAGATTTTAATCTCCCTGACATCTGCTGGAAGGGCAGCGTGGCAGGATGCAAGCAGTCCAGATTTTTGGAGGATGTCAAGGATAACTTCCTGATGGCCCACTGACAGACTGTACGCAACTGGAACTGCTATTCATAAATGAGGAAGAATGGGTTAGGGGTGTGATGCTCAATGGTAGCCTTGGATGTGGTGACCATAAAATGATGGAGTTGAGATCCTGAGGGAAGTGAGGAAGAGCACAGACCCTGGAATTCAGACTTTGGCTTATTCAGGACACTGGGGGTGGGACTCCACGGGAGACAACTCTGAAGGGCAAAGTTGCTAAGGAAAGCTGGTAGGTCTTTAAGGACAACCTCCTGCAAGCACAAGAATGGTCTACCACCAAAACAAGCAGAGGCATCAGGAGAGCAGCTTGGCTGAGCAGGCCTCATGACTGAGATCCAATACGAAAAAGACATATACAGGAGACCGATGCAAGGAGAAGCAACAAAGGAGGATTTTAGAAATACTGATTGGGCATGTACGGACAGTGCTAGGAAAGCAAAAGCTCAACTACAGTTGATACTTGGTAGGGACATCATGGGCAACATGAGGAGCTTCCAATGCCGAACTGGTTGCAAAAGGCTGAACAAGGAAAATGTAGGCCTACTGCTAGGCCTACAATGGGATGGGTGACATGGTGAAAGCAGATACAGATAAACCTGCAGCATTCAATACCTTTTTTGCCTCAGCCTTCATCAACAAGGCCTCTGTGCTTAGTAAAAGGGTTCAAGGAGAACTGAACAGTGGCCAACTGATTCTACTAAAGACAGATAACTGCAGAGTGTACCTGAAAAGTGTTAGTAACTGAAAAGTGTTTTGGAAATCATAGGAAGAAAAATGGTCACTTAAAACATCAGTAAACTACACTCAACAACGCCGATGTTGTTTGATATTGGCAGGACTAGGGAGAAGGAGTAGCAAAACCAAAGAAAACATATTCCCGCAGGAGGGGATTTTCCTGGTGCTTATCATTGTATTCAAGGGTGCATATGAAGGATTCAGGCCTACAGAGCACTGTAAATATCGTCTGAAATGCCACTTGGCCATCATTGCTTCTCAGAGCACTCGACTCAATGCCTGTGAGTGACTGAAACTTCCTCCACACTTTAAATAATAAAAATATATATACACTGAAGCTAGCATTTAACTGCACTGTTTGGAGAAAGCAAGAGCACCTTGGCATAATTGTGACATGCTGACAGACCCAACTAATTTCAGCTACCCAGATCTTCCATAAAGCCATTCTTCACCCTACTAGGAAATGGAAGTTATACAAAGAATAAAAGTCTCTCCTTTGAACCCATGCAAATAAAAAAATAGAGTAGATACAGAATGCTTTTGGTAGATAAGCAAAAAAAACCACAGCAATGTCCCTTCTTATAACATCCACGAAATGGTGCAGATTCTTTTTTGTTCGCTTTCAAACAAAACAGTAATTGCAGTTTTTGATAAACATCTTGGCTTATACAAAGTTACTTAAGTTTCATAAAGAGAAAAAAAGAAAAGACTAGTAAATATTATTTTGCAAAGAGATTTGTGACATTGTCCCTTCTGCTTTTAGTTAACAAAAACAAAACATCTTCTCCATTTAATTTAAATTATGTTATTTAAATATGTTCCGTGAAAATCAGCTGTGTACAGAGGCTACTTACAATCACATAAATACGGAAGCTAGTTTAATCAATGCTTCTCAGTAAACACTACAGTTGATGTCACTTGTTAACATCCCCATGTGATGGAAGGTGTTTATTGTACCAATTAGATGAGCTGTACATCACTTTCTGGTACAGGTTTCTGCAATTTTTTTCTTATACCATACTTAAAGTAAGCTGGAAGTATTCCAACTATTCTGTATTTTGTATATTTAAGTGCAGATATCCCCAATGTCCCCCAGTGTCTTTGGTGCTTCAGCCATTGCTTAACGCAACCTTTTGGAATCAGTAGCAATTTCAAATTCATTCATCAGGCCAAGCCTTGCAATACAGATGTCAGTTCTGAAGGAATATTTCGAACAACAAACTTAAAGGCAGTTCAATAGTTTCAAAAATCTACTGACCTCTTACAGCTTCCATGAGTAACACACAGACATAAGATTTTATTTCTTTTTATCAAGTCTGTGCTTCATCTGGTCCCTCATATTTCCACCACAGGTGTTCAATACAGTAAGATAGAAGCTCATGTTTTACTCATTTGAAAAACAAATAAATAAACAAGCACTGCTGTAATAATAGGAATGAGACTGTTTCTATTCAGCTAAACAATCCTATAAAAAGGAGGGAAAAAAAAATCAACGGCATTTGTACTCAGTACCTGCAGCTGTAATTTCTTCAGCATAAAAAGACTGCTCTCCTTGTAATAATTTGGTACATACCTGTGTTGCAGAAAACCAATAAATGGTGAAATTCCCGTTCCTGGACCAACCATTATGAAAGGGATGGATGGATCTGCAGGTAAGTGGAAAGTATTGCTCGGACGAGCAAAAATAAATATCTGGAATGAAATCAGATAGAATACAACTGAAAAATATTCTTAAGCAGTGAAAGCACCATTAAATTTGCAGAACCTTGAATAGGTTTGTGTAGCGTATGCGTGCACATACTCCTTCCAAATTCTGAAATTCAGAGTTTATTTAATGTCACACAGACATTTGGAATCACCTTTCATATGGGTTTCCGAAAACACACCATATTTACAGACCTATCAATCCATCTGGAGAAAAATTGGGCAAAAATACAGAAACATGAATTTCTGAATATGAAAGTTAAGTGTCATAAATTTGGGGAACACAGTTTTAAAATTATTGGAAGGTTTGGTTTTGGGACTCAAAGGGAAGCTAGCAATTTTTTGCTAACTATTACAGGCAACTCTCAACCTTTTATATACTGTGGATATCTAAAAATATCCCAGTGGAGGTAAGCACTCATTTTTATAGCACATTGAAGCCTGTTGATAAACAAGCTTGCTTTCTTAATGTTCACAGAAATTTCCATGATCTCCAAGAAGAGGCAAACAAACCACTTCCAAAGATTTTTGAGCTGTTATGTCTTTACATAAAATAAATTCTAATGGTGATCACCTGAACTTTGCAGAAAAGGAAGTCTAAACATTATTTTCACAAGAGCTTCCCAACTACTCAGAGCCACGATCAACTTAGTATATAGAAAATGAGAGCTGACTACTTTTATTTCTTTAAAAAAATATTTAAGACTCAGCAGCAGGAACTATAGCAGAGCCTCACCCATTAAAGTCATAAGCAAACATCCAACTTATCTTGGATATGTATTAAGAGAGGATTTGAATCTATTTCGAAATTTAAGGAATGAAGCACTAGACCAAGTTACTTAAACTCTCTTCTGTAAATGTGAACGGTGTAACACTACTCATTTCTTATCATTTAATCCACTAAATCCACTAATCCATCCAATGTTATACAGTGTTGTTTTTCTGCTTTGTGACAAAAAAAAAAAGTATAATTCTTACTAGGGAGGCCAATATCTGTATTTCTGCAAAATTTACAATTTTAAACTGCACTTGAGGTAGCAGGCTGTTTTCCCTATTAAGGACTCCAAACTGGAGTTTCCTTTAAAGAATACAGCAAATAGTATACACATTCATTCTGTAAATCTCTGCAATTAATCTAAGATACTTTTGTGCAAGATCAGACTCATCCATTTTGTATTCGTATTCTTCATATTTTGCAATCTACGTGTATTTCTGCACATTTAGCCACACCGAATTCTAGCTTACGCAGCAAATGCAAATAGTTCTGAACTTTATTCAGACCCATTTTGTAATAAACCTTCTGCCCTTTTTTTCACTCTAGCTCTTCTTCATGCTTCATCTCAAACACATTACAAATCAACTGTATTTTAAATTCCAGCTCTGAATACTGAAATAAGATATAACATGCACCTATTAATCACTTTTTCCTTTACATGAAATGAAATTTAAATTTTCCTTTTAGAAATGAAGAAAATTTGTATAGGTTTTCTCTCCCATTTTTGCCAGAGCAACAATTCGAATTATTGGCACAGTTTTTATATAATCAAATTCTATGCTTGTTTCCACTTTTCTTAATCAAATATAGATTAGACTATGCCAATAGTTCTTTTGTCATATTAATTATATATTAGAACTCCAAATTTTTAATTAACTTACACCTAACAAGCTCAACATGGATTAATTAGAGATTCTTTCCCGGGAACAGAAAGCAGAGAAAAAAAGGTACCTAATAATGCCTCCAACACCAAACCACCTTAAAAGGACACCAGAAATACCACAAATGATTTTTTTTTTTCCTATTGTGATATTCGATAACCTGGCCTTCTACAAACTGTCTGCAAGACCTGACAAGAAGTGAGAACTTCATAATTTTCTCCACTGGGTGTCTGGTTGCTTTCAGGAAAGGCTAGCAAGTTTCTCCCTTCTACAACACTAACAGCCATAAGAAGCCCTTCAGGAGTAACCACTAAATTGCACAATGGTATTTTGCCACATGAAAACACCTTCCAAGCCTTGCTTAGGAGTACAATGGGGTTGGAAAAGGACTCTGGCCTTTCAGCGATGGGAAATTTCACTACTTCAGGTACCTACAGATAAATTAAAACATAACTTTAGCAACTTAGCAGCGAGGATCTAAACATGTTACAGAGGGAAGGGTAAACATACGAAGTAAGGTAGAACTGCAAAATGAAGGTGCATACTGCCACTGTCAAAACACCTGCATTACATCAGAGGAGCGAACCAAGAAACCTGCAATTGTTTCAGACAAGCACAAGTTTAACAGTAAGAGTGTAGATTTAATATTTATACCTTTTCAGTTGAAAGACTTCCTCCTCTTGCATCCACAGCGTTTTTGTTAGTCTGCAGTAGGGGTGCAACTAACTCAGCAAGCCAGCCTGTACATACTCCTTTCCACGACACCGGTCGAGTGGGACAGGCAGGAAACTCCACAATATTGAACACAAAGCACAATTTTCCTGGCTGAAATAAGTTTGAGCTGCAAAGAAACACTTATTTAAAAAAAAGCAATGAAAATATTGACAGATAGCTGTACTATCTTATAGCAGGCCCATTTTCAGCCCAAACCATCTCACTGAAGTCAAGATTCTCAGTGTTCCTTTAACAATGCGGTATTTATATACAGCTAGAAAATATCTTAAGGTTGGACTCAGAGGCCAACGACCTACAGAATGGAACCAGAATTCCTCTCTATCACATTGACATGTGCGTGACATGCGACTCTACCGGAGTCTTGCCAGATATGCAAAACAATGTTGTTTGAAATAGTCAAATATTGTGTGTTTTGGCAATAAAGACACAATCACTTTTTTCCTGAGGTTTTATCCTTCATTCCTATGTATTTCTTCTTTAGATCTAGTGCATTCACTGGATGTCCTTCCAGAAGATCTGAAAAATTACTCGTGTTGTTGCTTTTTTTCCTCATTGTGGAGTAAGAGCAGTATTTAATACAAAGGGATTATGTAGTTAGCCTATTTCATCAAAACCAGTTTCTTTCCCTTATTCTTATAAAAACTCTGGAGGAAACCAGCAAACAGAGGGAGAGCTAACAGGGAAATTTTAAGAATGGAAGATCTGGGGAGAAAAGCAACAAAGTGATATGCAGTACATTTTTACAGCAGCTTCCCTGCTTCTCCCTGAATCAGTGGAGTAGCTAAGATCCTAATGTCAGACACCTGCAGTGGGGAATGTGAAGGGATGTGCCTACATTTCAGAGCCCTTCAGAACGAGGAATGGAAAGAAACGCTGGTCAGGAACTGGCTACTAGTGGCATTTCTTAGGAAGTCAGAGGGATAATTGTCAGGAAGAGGTGGCTCGGCAAAGAGACATCCCAGGATCACAAACCTCAAAAAGATAATCATGGAAACTTCCAAAGGTAAGGAAGCTAGTGCATTAGAGAGATGTGCAGCAACAATATCTAAGAAGAACAGCTGGATTCTGATCTCCTTCAGAGTCAGACTGCACTTCGCACATTATGCGGCCAGTCACTGAGGTCAACAATTGTTGCAAAGTCCCAGCAGTGAATAAGGTTCCAGCCCTATTGAAGAGGGGAAAGCCACATACTCCAACGGCTGAAACTCATCCAGCCCATCAGCTACTTCTCTGCTTTACTCAAAAGGATACGTTAAATAAATCCCAGGACTGACTGGGCAGATTGAAAGCAGATATAACCTTCTAGGAAATAATTCAAGATGATGAAAACATCCTGACTCGTCATTCTGACCAACTCGAAGGTAGTAACACACACTTTTTGAAAATGAATGCAGACCCTTCTGCATTGTACTGTCTGGACAATTTTTGCTTCCTCAACCATGTGAGTACGGTCGTTCTATTTGCAGAATTATTTTTTTGGCAGGGGGAGTTTTCAGTGCTTGCCCACTTCTCTTGGCAAGTATGGGAGAAAGGGATAAAAAAAGGGAGCAGCAAGCCCTGGGATTCAAGCAGATAAAGATGAATTCAACAGTAAACACTATATCAAAAATTATAAGTAAAACTCCTTACATACACTTGACAAAAAGTTTACTGAAATTATGAAGACATAACTTGAATATTTCATTACCTTGAAGCTGAATAGGATCTGGGTTGTAATTTAGGAAGATGCTCTGAGAGACAAAAAAAAGGGAGGCCAGTAGTTAGTGGACAAAGTGAAACTTGAACTTAAATTTTCCCCCATCTTGCATCCAAGAGTACTTTATGCAACTCTGAGAACAGGAACTACTTGATTGACAGTTTCTTATATGTACTAACTATAGATAAATATATGTATACATATACACATACACATATCTCCTAGAACCAGATATGCCAATATAATTTCAAACTACTATGAATACCTATGTAAATTTCACAGATATGGAAAACCGCACCTTAAAAAATACGCACAAAAAATCACCACACTTGTAGCCTTAACTAGCACTTATTCAAAATTAGGATAGGAGTTTATTGGGCATTTTTGTAATTAACCACCCCCATCACCACCACTAATTTTGAAATTGAAAAATACACAAGTATGTATGTGTGTGTGTGCACACACACACACACACACAGAAGGCTGAAGTCACTGGTGTCCCAGTCTTCAAAGAAATAACTTGCTCTAGCATGAAGACCGCACACTTTGGCTGAGGAGAAGGGCACATTAAAAGGAGGCGGACATAAAGCTAAGCGTACAGTGTGGTAGGAAATGGCCACAACAAGCAAGTAATACCATAAAATTAGGAATAGCAAACGCCAGAAAACACACAGTGGAGTAACAGGGTACACACACTGCTGTAAAAGGCAGTTTAACTGCTTTATAGCCGCTTTCCCACATGTGCCACCTGTTACCAGAGGTTCCAACCAGTACACGGACTTGAACACCCCAACATGTTTTAGAGATGCCCTCTTACATAAGATTGCTTCAAATCAGAAATAAGAAATGCTAGTTCAGGGAAATCACTTAAAGAGGGCACTAAACCTATGCAGCACCTGCCTTCCTCGAGGGAACGCATTCAAAAACTTTTCAAAGCTTCCTTTTATTCAGTCCAGTGGCTTGTAGCATGTTGCACTACATTTTTGAGTGTTGCTAGAACTAAGCGTTCTTGTTTTCAATTTGAAAATGTATCTAGTTGTAGGAAAGGGAGCATTTTCTTTCTTTTTTACATCTTTGATACAGTGATTGATACATTCCTTTGATTCAAGGAGAGACTGTAGTTTCAAGTCCTTTCTCATTCTTTCCTACATCCCACTATATTGTGTCTGAGAAGAATGCAGGGCTTCCTGCCATATCCACTGCTGCTCTAAACTGAAAAAGAAGTCAAGTCAAGGCATGGGTGCTCTTTTAAAGATTTTTGAAATAAGATCAAAAGAACTCTTTTTTTTTTTCCTATGAATTAGAATATGCATAGCTTCTTTGTAAACAAGTATTTTTAAATATTTGAATATCAGATTTTTTCCTCTGCCTTTTACAGTTTTTCCCTCAATTTGGCAAAGATGTTTTCTGCTTCACATCTCCTTGCAGAACTTAACGTTTGTTTATTTTTACTGTACCGCAGAATGGCTTCATATACTTTGCCAGCAAAAATATGGGAACGATCTTTCGATTTTATAGCAGACTGGATTTGGCATAGCAGCAGAGAAGGATATCACAAGAACGCAAAAAGTAACTTTTCTTTGTTGTTTCAGTTGGTGAAACATATTAAGAAATTCGTTCTTATTTTTAATTTGGAAAATATCTGTCAGCGTTTTCAGGTGCATCTGAGATGGCTACAGTTGGAAGTCTCATTCCTTTGATATTTTATATAAGGAACCCAATGAGTGTGTTCGACATTATATAAACACGGATAAAATGGAAAAAGCTTTCTGTTTTAACAGATAGAAGGGCAAGAAAAGAACATGAAGGCAGGGAAATCATGAGCTGTAAAAACAGGTCTGTTTGAATTTTAACCAGTGATGAATTGATTCTTAAAAGCCCTAATCTGGCAAACGCCTTAATGCTTATTTTTACACTCGGGAGCTAAGAATCAGCTGAACCACAGGTATGTGCCTAAGCGTTCGCAGGATCAAGGCCAAAGACTGCACACCGAATAACAGAGCTTTGCTCCCCAACAGTAATTCTAGCTTGATCACCACAGGTACCGTGATATTTCTAAAGCAGCTAACTGAACAGGTTTTCCACTTCTTGAGAAACTGAACATGCAGTCTGACACGTTTTCAGAAACCAAATCTAATTGCGTCCAAGTCAGCCACTTACCAATTAGCAGGTTAAGTGAAGGCTTGCAGCTTGGAAAAGCATGAAGTAAATCCAGCAAGCAGACATTAGGCTCTCTAATGAAACGGGTGTAATCAGAGGCTCCTTGTCTGCTGCAAAGCTCCTGAAGCCTCCGCTTCTCTCTTGCGTCACCGGTACATTCTACAAGGGCTCGCAAAAATGCCTGTGGGGAGAAAATAGAGTGGAGGGTAGAAAAGTTGCCTAGTTAGGCAAATCTTCACAAATCTGGGAATAACTTTGCTTGCCTAGGGACAGGAAGCAGTCACTGTGCAGGTTAACAGGTAACAGAATTTATTCCCCAATGCACACTTTCCCCTACTAGGAAAACATTACATTTTTATTTTCATTTTTTCATTTTTTTTTTTGTTTGTTTCTTGCCTGCTATTTTCTAAAGTACGGGACAAGCTGGCAGGTCAGAAAATCCCACCTGGACTTACTGGGGGAGGGACAGATAAACAGCCATAAGCCATTCCCACATAAATCCCAAATTTATCAGCCCCATAAACAGCCCCGTAACACAAATTAATTCAAGACAAAACACCATTGAAAAGTTATCGAAGCAAGGAAAGAAATAATACAGTAATACTTTTTCAAAGAGTTTGTAAGTATTAAGTATGGTATTTAGTGAGTCATGTAAGTGCTGCTGTGGTGTTTTATTCTGTGTTCCTTGCCTACATAATGGTACTGTAAGCTTTTCTTAAGGGACAAGTAAATTGAGCATTGTAGGATAAATTAAAAATTGGATGCAAATAGTTTCAAGGGTGTTTATTTTTTTCATAAGGCAAGGTGGAAATAAATACAGTGCATAGAAGTGAACCAAAAAACCAAACGCAATCAGAGGACAAATTCTACAAAAAAAAAAAAAAAATTCAAAAAGTAATTTGAGTACGCTCAAACACCATGCTTCCAGATACTTGTTCTGAGCATGGAGCTACATAAAGCACACTCCACACTGAACAGGCCATAAGGAAGATGGGTTATTAGAACTGGCCTGGGTGATACTCCCCAGTCACTGCTCTCTGCTTCCTCCTGTTGTTGAGACAAACTTTGAAAAACTGTTAAATGAAATTTTTGAAAAGTCTGAACCAAGTGGAAGTGTCTCTTCTACAGGATATCGTCCAATAATTACATGTAGTGGATCCTACTGCAAAATCCAATTAAATGAGAGGACAGAGCCTCTTCTAAAAACTCATTTCCCTTAGAGACCCAACTAACATGATTCTTTAGCTTCATACTTCCCACAAATCTATCTTTAAAATGCATTTTAACAATATCAGACAATACACAGCATTTTCAGTTGTAAGCTTCCAGGTTTTTGGAGGCCCAAAATGCAAGGGAAATAATTTTCAGTTGTGGGAACAAATATTATACAAGAAAAAAAAAAAAAATCAATCTCCAACTTCTGCCAGGTTATTGAAAAGTTAAAGAAAAGCATTAAAATCATTTAAAAGACATCATGAGATGTTTGTATAAAGCAACACGCACACTTTGAATTACTAAACTGGGCAGAAATGGCTCCTCTTTGATCAGTGGGCATGATTTCTCTAAAATGCCCAGGGTCAGATACTGACAGCCTTCCAACCACCTAGCAACACGTTCCAATGCTTTTCATTTACTTCTGCAGATTACCTATGAAGCAAGGTACTGCAGAATGGCAAAAGGGATTTCAGTACCTGTTCTGCCAGTCTCACAGCTTCCCTAATAGAGAAAAGTACTAAGAGCACAATTGCTTAAAACCAAGTATCAGCAGTAGCATACAAACTGACAAACCAGCAAACACAGTAACTACAAGCCATGCAAGGATAGATCTGCAATAAACCACACAACACAGAATTACTAAGGATTTCTCTACAAAATAAGAAATACTTAAAAACCTTTTTGGGAATTGTTCTTATTTCCAGACACCAGGTTAGAAGGAATTTCAGAGTGCTTCTCTCAGGAATGTGTTGTGGAAGAGTTGCTCCTATTTTAGTGGAAGAAAAAAAGCACACATATGTGCCTATTAACAGCCAAAATTAGCATCACAGACTGCTCCTTCAAGAAATACTAGGAGCTAAACCATACTCAACTTTTGTATGATCAGCCTCACTCATGAATGGAAACCATAAACTAAACAGCAAGTCAGTTTTCTGATGAAGTATCAGTGAAAATTTTCCAATGAAAAGTCAACAATTATCAGGAAGGCAGAAAACAAGAAGATGGTTTATAATTAATATATGTTAAAATAAATTTTATTGCCAAGCCACTCCAGCCCTTGTTACCCCTTTCCACCCTACAGCAATCCAGAGGAATGCCTACAAGAGAGAGGAATATCCACATTTCTTTGTGTATTTTTTCCTCCATCAGTAAGGACTCCTGAAAATCAGGACATGCTGAACTGCATGCACGTTTTCGAAAGATCTAATCAAACGTGACTGTGGCCAAGTGCCTCACTGGAACTTCTGAGCCCCAAGTAGATCCAAGGCAGTTCCGTGCAATCAAATAATCTGCCCTATACTCCCTATGGGTTTCATTTATGGGAAGGAGGTGCATGTACATCCAAACTATCTCTTCATAGTCAGTCAGGGTCCAGCCAGGCTTACCAGCCTCATAACACGCCATGCTAAAGCAGCTAATCTGCTTCCTCCCAGTCACTGATTCTTGTTATGCTCTTCTCCATGTTCAAGAGTCCCTTAATACAGAATTTTTGCTCCAAGAATATACCTATACACCTTGGTAAATTACCTCTTCACAGCAGTATTATTTGACTGAACTCTTTCGCAAAGAACAAAATTTATTTTTTAATAGATTAGAGGACTGGCATAAAGGTGATATAAGAGAAAGCTGTTTTTATACTTACATAAACTTCCTTTTTTTGAACATCTGACAGCATTCCACAATAAACACTTGATCCTCTTCCTAGGATACTTGCATACACAATAAAAACCTACTACAGCAAACGAGCATTTGAGCAATAATCTTGCACCAGCCAGCTAAATAATTTCTGCATTGTGTCCTCTCTTTTGAGGTAACAATTGATCTCATGTACTTCATCAAAGAATTCATAGATTGAACAAAAAAGAGACTGTAAATAGAATTCAAGACAATTCTCAGTACATCCAGAAGATGCGCCAGAGGCGCTGTCTTATGTTTATGCTCCTCTTTTTTCCTCACGCTTCCTAGCTCTCTTCATTCAGTAAACCCACAACAGTAATAGTTACTGCAAATTCCTCAGAGAAATGAATACAGCTGCAGAGGCAACCATCTTAAAGGGAAAACAGCTCTGGAACATAGCTAGGATTGCCAAGCTGCATTACAGAGCTGAATTCTTTGTACAGAATGGCAACAGCAAGTAACTAAGTCACAGCAACTTAATGAGCCATTGCTCACCAGCACAGCTCCAAAGAAACTGAATTTAGGCTTAATCCTAAACCACTTTACTTCATAATTGCAGTGGGTTGGAAGTTGTTGCACAAGCTATGATTGGAGTTCATGCATCAGCAACAACTTGTTAAGTCAACATAACTTCATGAGCTGTCCATATGTATCTATTTTTTCAATTAGAGATCAGCTAATAACCTGGGATCTTGTCCCACACTGCCTTTTCCTGTTGAAAAGCTCTGTAACTGAGAGGAATGGATGAACTACTAGACTAAGTAAAGTCAAAGGAACTAGACACAAAATTTAAGTGGAATATTGTGTTGCTGCCAACAGCAGTGACAGATATGATTCTGCCCCTGTATGCAAGACAAGTGTAAAAAGTCAGTGTGATTTGTTCCAGGTCACACAGAAGACTCAAGAGCAGAAAGAAGAAGAGAACTTTGACTCTAGGATCGTCCTTTCCGTTATTATTCCTTCAGATTCATAAAGAGGCATCACATTTTACATGCAAACACAAGACACGGCGTAAAAGTTGCAGAAACTGGATGGGGTCATTGGTGCCATTTGTGTTTGCATAAGTGCCGTATTTCTTGTCTGTGTTGGTGTGCACGGCCAGTCATGTACTTTGCGAGTATGAGCGTCTATTTGGAATACATGCTCAGCCTTGCTAATGGCTGGACCTGGGGACATGGAGCTGTGGGATCCTCACCTCCATCAGGCTACTGGATTCAGCAACCCCTAACATCTGGCGCAGTCAGCAGGATCCAGTGGGGCTGTGGACATTTCCAAGGCGGCAGGCACAAAATTTCCTACGTGGGGAGAGGACTGATGTTTTTGCAAACATGTCCAGTGTGTTAGAATCATTTACCAAAATTTTTAGAACTTCTAGGATAACTAGAGTAATTGGACTGAAAACAAATTAACTTATGAAAGATTGAGAAGTGTAAATTGGTTCTTGTGAGCAGAAGTGCTTCATTTGAATAAAACGTACATTTAAAAGAGAACATTTAGGATCTTTTGAAAAAACGAAAACTGCCACAAATTGTTAAGACACAGACTGCATTAGCAATATAGCAGGTGGCGACCCAAAAAAATAGGCTAAGGTCAGGTTCTTTACAACCCACTCCTTGATACTTGAGAAAACATGTTACACAGGGAAATAAACAGTTGCAAATGGATGGGACCTTTGTTGGGGGGGATGCCCATGGGCAATGTGGCCTCCCTCAGGGGGTAGGAGGCCAGTCCAGTAGCAGTCACCTCCCGACTCTGCCAGGGACTCAGCTCTGCACTGCTCACACCAGTTCCTGGGGCCAGATAACAGCCAGATCAGCCCTGCGGACCCAGGGCTTGTCCCTAGCACAGGGACCAGGCTGTAACTGACAATGTCTCCGCTCCAAATCTAACTGGTGACCCCCCAGCATAGGTCCGTTAGGGGAGCGGGGGTCAGAGATGAGGGTCTGCTGGGCCTAGACACCTCTGTCATGCATTCCCTGCAAATGTGCTCACTCCCTCGCAAGTGCAAGGACCTCTGTGGAAAGGGCCAAGGGGGAAGGAGAAAAGAGCCTGGGAGGCTCTCCTGTGACCTGAAACACTTTCCCCACACACCTTTTGCAATAGCTGTATGTAATTTGGACCAGGGCTGTAGTCCATTTGATCCTTTTATCTTAGTTGTGCTAAAGCTACCTAGGGGACAGAAGGCACTTCTAGCCGGAATTGCTTATGGTTGTAACAAATAGCCCTAGAAATTAAAAAAAAACTCAAATGCCCTCTTGTCAACTCCTTGCGGGGTGCTGACAATATGGTTTGCTGAGAGGGTGGGGAGCAATGCAAAGTAATAGCAACCATGTCCGCCTGCACTCCACATCCATGAGTAGTCCTGAGAATCCTTACTGGGAAAGGATTGGCCTCCAAACATTTGTTAAGTCTGCCGGTAGCTACCTTGGGGTTGGAAATATTTTAAGTGGCAGATAAATTTGTGCAGTCCATCTGCATTGTTTCGATTAATATGTCCTGGGAAATAGATATATATACAAATCTGTATGCTGTGGATCAAGGGCTGAGGCACCAGATCCCAATTTGTAGTACAAACCCCCCCCCCTTACCAAGGCCAAGGAATATGGATGGGAGAGCCTAGGCGAATGACAGCCTCTGCAACCACCAGAGCTTTCACGCACCACTTGTACTGTGGAATGGCTTAAACTGGCACAGTGGATGGAAATGTTATCATATGGAAAAGGGGATACTATGGAAACCAACGTCATTAACAAGCATGTTACTCGCCAAGTCCAGGAAGATGGGCCCATTTACAACTCATACTTAATGGAAAATCTGGGTGGCCCTCGATGATGCAGGGAACTGATTTACCCACGGACTTGGAGCAAGAGTCCTACCCCATCCTGCAGAAGCACAGGTCAGAAGCACCTCTGAGATATCAAACACAAGACAAGAGAAGGGTAATTCTCATAGGTTCAGCTGAGACTACACAGGGCTACCCTAAGCCTGCAACTACCATTCCTGACTAGTGGGACCAGAAGGCTCAGCAAGCCAGATCCACACAGACCTACGGGACCCTTAAAAGGTACCTTGCCGCAGCACTAAATCTTCTGCTCCAGGAGCGCAGCCCTCCTAGGAGGTAAAACAGATGGCTGTGAAGTGCTGTGGCAAGGACAGAGGATGCAGGGCAGTGCTCTCGGGTTTTACTTTCAAGCGGGGGAACGTTAGGTTATTAGGTAAAGGCTCATTTCCATAAACACAAAGGATCAGAGAGGAAACAGGGGGAGGAACCCCAGTGACAGTCTCAAGCTCCCAATCAGCAACTCACTCATCTATGGTAAAAACAACTGCAGCATTTTATGCCTTCTCTCTTCTTCATATGCCTCTAATTTTTAACAGGCCTCTATGAAATGACAGCTGTATCCCAATACTGAAAATAGGAAATATTCAAAACTATGCACACTTAATATTACCAACGCAGAAAGGAACACTTACCTTTCTTTTTAGTGCCCTGTTTAACCTTTACACAAACAAAGTGCTCTCCTTTTCCAGGAAGTCCCAAGATGCGAAGAAGTTCTTCCACCTCATTGACGTTGTTGGGACATATTACACAAAAGGCATCTCCAGGCTGGTAGTCAAAGGTTGTATCCTGTTTTAAAATATGAGACAATTTTTATAAAACTGTAATAAACCAAGCTCCACAGCATTCTCATTCCTAACAATGACAAAAATCTTCCTACTATCATAATCACATGAAATCATATGTTCTTATACTCAGTACTGACACTTCATTGCTCTAATTACATCGGAAACTAAATACTAATGTTTTCTTTCCAGGTTGACTAGAAAAATCTTTCCTTCTTGGAGTTAAATATTTGGAAGCTCTTCAACAAGACCTGCTAAACAACCTAAACAGAAGGAAAATAAATGTGTATTAAGAGGATGTGCTAAAAACAACCAGTCCAGATCATTAATTAGCAATGCACTTTGTTTTCTGGTTTGAGAATAGTGGAAAAATGAATAAATATCAAGTCCTCACAATGAATACAATTTTGCATAGCTATGTATTACGACTAAAAGAAAATTTGTCGGTTAAAACTATTTGATGAAATGTGACTGAAGTGACCCCAAGTAGTTTCATTTTCTGAAGGAAAAAAAAAAAACCAGTAAGGGAAGAGCACAGTGAAAATTAAAAGGTAGCTCAGATATTAAGACACAGGTTCTCCCTTCTTGGCTGAGGTTCTTGAGCTAACTGCTGAGCACCTAACTGATAGAACCGTAAGAATATAGATACATGCAAAATTATACTTGAATCATTATGATTTCCTTAAGCATCATGCAAGGCATCCTGCATACAAAAGCTGCTGAGAGTCTCAGGACTCTCAGGAAAATATTCCTATGTTCAATGCGTGCATACACCTTTCTGGACAGGATTCAGAAGTTACTTGGTGACAGGATACATACAATACATGCAAGAAAACAGTTCATCTCAGGGGCTTACTTGCTCAAAATTTAATTTAGGTAGCTAGAAGAAGTATAATATACTCTATTTATAACTAAGATTCCAAAGAAGTCCCATAGAAGTTTTGGCTTCTGGCGTGCCATGACTTTCACTGAACAAATTCAGACTTTGCATTTAGAAAATGGATAAACCTCAGCTGACTTCAGCCTATTGTAGAGGGAAAAATTATCCTTCTTTCTTTTTAAGCAGTCAAATAAGTAAACACCATTAACAGTTTCCCACCAATTATCATACATAACACATTTTTAGCCTTTACTTTTACCCACTAAAGAAAAAGCCTTCACTAACTTACTGCAATATCCAGTTCTAAGAGTAAGGCAGTTTTTATTGCATCTTCTCTAGTGAGCTGAACTGCTTTTGTAACTGGCACTTCAAAGGCTGTTCCCTCTGAAGTCAGTGAGGACAGGCTGGGATTCTGAAAAGGAGGACATGAAAACTTGCACTGAACAAATACAAATCAACTGTGTAACAGGTTATTATGATATACATGAATTAATGTCGGTGTAATTGCGGGTAATTTTTTCTTTGAAACTAAACCTTAGTAAAAAATGAGGAGGAAAAAAATACACTACACACACACACAGTGCTTTGCTCTACATTTTTAAAAACTGTACCTAAGTAGTAACAGACATATATTCAATTAAGTAAGTCAGTAGGCTTGAACAGTTTAATGCATCTAAACTATTACCAAATGCAGTTTAAGAGCTGTCTTAAAACAGACAGTTTGAAAATGGCATTTATATTAAAACGCAGAAAACTCCTGCCTAATTAAATGCTGACTAAGTGTAAGGAAAGGACCTAAGAAGAAAGAACAGAAGCTATTTAAAAATATCATTGCAGGTTAAGAAATTGGGACTTCAGGATTCAGATGGGGGTATTATTACAGGCAATTTATAGGAGAAATTCTAAAAACTGTAATTAAATTGATAGCTAAGTATCAATTGCAGAATGAGATCACGTTATCCCACAGTATTTCTGCACAAATGAAAATACTTGTTAATGGGCCACAAGAATAATTTTAGACTGCTTCCACCAAAGGCTGTCACTTTTAGATCAGACTACAGCCCTCACTTCTCCATCACTGCTGTCAGTGAGCATCATTTGATATCAGTACGGACAATAACCCAGAGGTTTTGGCTTTTACTTTTTGGTTTATCCTCCCAGAGGTGAGAGGGATATCAAATGTCCATTACAAGACAATATCAGCTAATCTGAAGATTTCCTGTAAAAAAGACAAATAATAACCGAGAACAACACTCGGAAGTTTTAACATTCTCTTATATTTTAACATTGCGATTAATAGCTATCAAGTTATGGTCCATCAGTTGGACTCTAATAGCTGTCTACATTCATATTCTCTCTAGGTCAAGTTCAAGGCATAATGACACCAAGGTTTAAGCTAAATAGAATTATCCTGTATTTGCCACAAAGGCTTAACAGGTAGACCATTACTGCTCTTCTACTGATTAGCATCAGCTTGTTAATTCAATCTTCAGACGTCAGCGCTCCAAGACACAATTCAAATCAATAACTGAAGAGATCATGCATCCAGCCTTCTTCAGATAACAGGGAGTTGGAGATGTTCGAAATCAAGCTGATGCATTTTAGAAGGAACCAACTTCAGTTTTGTTGGCAAAATATTACCCATGGTTGTTGCAATGCAAGATTTTGGGAAAGGATATGGATTGTAGGGTCAGATTTATTTTTACAGCTAGTGCACAAGGGACATACTTGCTAAGCGCCATCTCTGCTAAAAAAAATAATGTCCGAGGAAAAATCTGCACTTGATGCTTTCCAAAGCTCAAGACAACCATACAGCTGTACATCTGAAATCTAAAGACCATCATCTTTAATCTGTCCCTGAATTCTAGATTTGTAGAAATCTCCCCTGTCACAGCAGGGGAGATTTTATGAATTAGTCTCTTGGTATTCATCAAAAATTGAGTGCTCAGCTCCGCTTTCAAGCACTATAGCACCACTTCGGACCTGGTCTGTAATCCAAGAGTACCTCTAAATTGTAAATCCTTGTTTTAGTAATTTAGATTGCTTAACTCAACAACCTGTACAAAAACAACTACAAGTCTGAGGTTTCAAAGAAAAGTAAAATTCTCTAGCGTTCAGTTTCATGCATCCTATTTCATAATTATATTAGTTAGACAAAGTGATTTTCTCACCACTACTCCTGTCATCTGCAACTGAGACTGTCTAGGCTCTGAGGGCACTAACAGGCTTTAATGGCCCTGAGCAGCCTCACTGGGCTCCAAACACTCTGCTCGTGGCCCCAAGAGCCCCATTTAAGCTCAGACCTGGGCCTTCAGTTAATCATAGGAGTACTAGTCTCCAGCTCAGCCACAGCTAAGCCCATGCCTCCCCACGGATCCCATCAATCTGGGCTCTGGCCCGCAGACTGATTTCCCAGCCCGACCTCAGTCCTGCCTCATCACCACAAACTTGCCTGATGATCCGGACTCTTAGTTGATCCTGGCTACCACCTCCGGGTTTGCTAAGCTTGCCTCACTCAGGTATTGCGAGGGCTTTCCCTGGCTGGTGAGGTCCCTGCCCTGCTGGCCATGTAATCATGCTCAGCTCCCTGCTTAAGGAGGAGCCAGCCCTTGCTGCTCCCCAAGAGAGAAAGGCAAAACATCTGCCCTTTGGCAATCAAAAAAGTTCAAGTCACATTTTCCAGTTCTGAACATTAAATTTACCAACTGGAGATGATCAGTAGCTTATCCTAATTCTTCTCCTTGCACTGCAGGCCACATAGTAAAAGCACACTGACTTTTGATCTATGATTTATCTTCTTTTTGGAATAGTAAAATTATAATCACCGTTTTTTACAATAGCAAGTTTCTCATTTAGTAAGTATGCAGCAATATTTCAAGCAATTTTATGCCATCTTAGTTTATTATGCAAGGTTTGAAATTTGAACTGAAATTGCACCATAATTCTTTCCACAGAAAATGGTTTCACTGTCAGAATATAATCACTGATGATTTCAGCTCTTCCATTCCTGGCACTGCATTGCCATTCCCTCATCAAATTATTAGTTAGCCAGATTATACTTTTATGTCAGTGTGCTTAACTGACATGCTGACAAGTACATTCTTACAATATAAACAGACCTTTCACTTACAATTCAAAGAACTCCTGTGTTCAGGGACGTACCTCCTTTACATATGCGTCCACTTGCTCTTTGGGTGGTACGTAGGAGTATACACTCATGCTCCTTACCAGAACTGAAGGCTTGCATCATTCAACGTGAAGTCCTTACCTCACCATGGGTGTCCTGAAACTGGACCTCTAAATATTCTGCTGGCAAGGCAGGAATATTAAGAGCAGACTGGGAGACAGGAGGGACAGAACGAACAAGCGAAGGTTCTAGGTCTTGAGCTGAAGTCACAAGATTTATGTCAACCAGTTTCTGTGACAGAACATCAGAACTCCTCGCTCCCTCATCTTCTAGCTTCAAGTGCTGTACTTTTGAGGTTAAGTCTGGTTCACGTACACATGGGGCTGCAAAGGGAGAGTCAGAAACAGCATCGACGTTGCTGCTCATGCCTTTTTTTTCTTCCTGCAATAGAAACGCTTCTTTGAGGGCAAGCCAAAGTCCATCAATCCAAGGGTCAACCACTAGTTCCAAACTGTGGAGGGAAGAAAATAAAAAAAGTAACATGAAAGAAAAGGATAACCTATCGGACTGTTAATTTATAAATAATTAAAAGAACAAAAGAAGCTATACAACACTATTCATTTTCCTTTTTTTTTTTTTTAAACATACAAGCAGCTGTTACCAAGATGACCTTTCTTGTTAAAAATTTTTGTTTCCATTTAATTATTACTGCTATTTAAATTTATGGGGTCTACAGTGTATAACAATCTCACTCCTTCCGTCAGCTTCTCAATGTTATTTTCTTACGACAGGAAGTTGAAGGGACAGTAGCAAAATACGGAATTTTTTGCTGCGCAAGAGCAACATCAATAGCTTACAATAACGTTCCATTTTTTATTTTAGAACATAAGAAATAAGCTTTATGATTATGGCAATGTTTGTGTGTACAATTCTGTCTCATATCATCATGCACAGAACCAAAATAAACTGCACTTCAAAATAAATAAGCCAAGCCTGCGGCCTACAGGCCAGAAAGAACAACAGAACAGGAAGGGTGTTGTTTCCTTATAAAATTCCTGTCTCTGAGGAGATCAAGGAAAACAGGTGGATGTTTTACAGAAGGAGGTGGGGGGGAATCATAAACCATTTTATAGATTGCCTAAAGAAGCTCTACTACAATAAAGGGAGAATTTGTTTAATAGATTCTTTAGACTGCATCCAATACAAGATGTGAGCTTGGATAAATCTCTGAAAGAGACCGAGATCACAATGAATCAGAGTCTGGTGGGTATGCAGAGAGAAATCCCATTATCCAGTGCCTGGCCACAGATACTATGGAACAGGATTTGGTTTGTATTTGCTTGGGTAAACAAAGAATATATTTTTAAAAACCCTTATTTATTCTAAAAATAATACTCTAAATTACTTCATTCAAAATAATATTCAATCATTCAAAACAGTACTCTAAATTATTTCATTTCTAAAACTACTAAATTCCCTGAATTTTAACAAATGTTATAGATACTTGCTTAGATTTAAAAAATGCAGTTTCATTTAGCAGCAATTAAGATTGAAAAGGCATATTGTGCTGAGATAGAACTCATTGCTGTAAGGTGCTGAGCATTCAGGTTCACCGGATTTCAAAGAGTTTAGAGCATCTAACCAACTTCACACGTAGTAATTGCATCCTGAAGAATTAAAATCCAAAAGCATTAAGTTCTTACCCTACACAATCATCTGCTAATCCTGTATCATAGAAGTGCTGGGCACCAAGTTCCTGAAGTCGTCTGTCTACCGTCTTTCCACCATTACAAAAGAAGGTGTACTCTGAATCTCCTAGACCTAACACATTCAAGGAAAAAGGAATCCCATCAATTAGCCAGCCACACAGGTCACACAGACAACAATCTGCAAAGACAACACAAGATTTTCTCACAGGCAAACAAGATAATCTGATGTATCAAAGTGCACGTTACCAAAACACTTGTATGATCTTAACAATTTCTTGCGTGTCCAAAAGTATAGCTGAAAAGTTCCTCCTTCATAAATGCAAGACACAGTATTTAACTGAAAACGCCCTGCTTTAGATACTTAATACTTCACAAGACTCTTGCTTTAGTTTAGGGTTTTCAGTATTTTTTTGGATTTTTACACTTTGCATTTAAAACGTAAAGAACTGACATAACTAGAAACAGAATGAAACTGATAAATTGTTCGTAAATTATCAAGAGAAATTATTTTACCTTCAAGTTACAATTGTTACCATATGTCAATAACACAAGGGAGGGAATATGAGAAGAAATTAAAAAAATACTGGAATCTAAAAAAAAAGTCAGAAACATAGGAAGAACCAGTGATTTTATACCCTACGAAGAAAGAAAAAAGAAAACATGCATAAGGGAATCTGGGCCCAAAATCCCAGACCGGAACGAGAGCTACTAAGGAAAAGACTCTTTGCGGATCTCACTTTCACTGCACTGAACTTACGCAGCATTCTGTCCTTTAACAGCCATGAAGAGCTTCCACTTGAAGATGTATTTTGTTACCAGTTAAAAATTCAGTGGAGCCAGGAGCTACATTCATGGAGGAGCTGAGACTTTAAGATGTCAGCCAGTCCTCTGACCCACACTATACAAGATTAACAGCACATACCTCATCCCCAAGAGATCCTTATCTAATATAGTTTTGAAGATCCTGGTTATGAAGACTCCACAAGTTCTCTACAGAATTTGCATCAGCATCTCACTGTCCTAACTACCAGGATTTTTCACATCTTGACCCTTTCTTGTAATTTAAAGCCACTAGGTCCTTATCCCACCTATCAGTAGATAGTGACAACAGACAGACTATTCCTTTCTTCTTTACAACAGTCTTTTTGGAATTTCTGTAGGAACTCCGGCTCCCTCTTAGGGTAATCAGCATTAACACTCCATTAGACATACTGAAATGTAAACTAAGAATGTATTTTAAGACTACTAACTTTTTAGACTGGAATCACAAAACATTTTATAAAGTACATATTATATCTTTTACATAAAAAATAAATGTTAATAAAATGCTTATTTTTATATAAGCATGCTTCCATTTAGCTATGAAAACCCAGCTGTTTCACAAACTGTGATGGATAAATAGGCAACAGCATAACATCTCAAAACATAACATGTTTAGGATACGTATATTTCACACTGCAATACTAGAAACCCACTAGAAGTTTCTTTTTAGTAGGTATTTCCCTTATTAGGAAACTAGAAGTTTCTTCACTCTTACCCATCAACTTAAATTTGTCAGGCTAAAATAAGCCAGTTTCAAACAGAAATGTCTGAAGTCGGTTTAAACGTAACTTGAAAAGTCAACAGCAGTCTTGAAATGGAATTACCCCCAAAGCAATTCTATAAATGTACGTGCCATTCTAATCTTCAAGTGTTCCTCCCCCATCAAGAAACTGACAGAGATAACCATTTTAATTCAAGATCAAGTAATAAAAATGATCAGTACTTCTAGTCCTTGTTGCTGCTGAAAAGCATGGAGAGGGGACATGCAGCTCCAAATTGTCCTTGCCATCAGCTCAAGTTATGTGAAATGCATTTTGCAAGTCTGTATTTTTGTTATCAACTTGTAATCTGAAGTCACATTCCTTTTATCAATCAGTAAATATGACCTTCAAAATGAAAGGGCTATTAAAAATGTGAAGAGATGGGATGATCTTAAAGTCTTAATCTTTAGCAGTATTTTATATAGCCTTTCCCTTTCGACAGAAAAAGGCCTGATCACTTACAAGGCCCGGTAAACATCCCTAATCCATAGAGATTTAACATGAAATTAAAACTTCAGCAATCACAGATAGCTTACATCATATTTCGTTTAGGCATAAAATTAAAAGTATAAAAAAATGAAATTGGTAGCTAACTTTCACTTTTGTGCCATGCTTCCTTTATTGCTCATAGAAGAGATTACACAAAATACCTGTTCAAAATATAAATGTATTATAAATATACATATTTTAAGAAATGCTATTTACAAGTACAAATTATTCACTGACAAACTAGTGCCGGAATGCTATAGAAAATATTGAATCACCTAACAATCCATATTGTAGATGTGCAAAATGATCAGGTGGCAAGGTCTTGTCTTGAATTTTCTTAATGAACTTGCGGGCAGTGTCTGGTGGGTCTCCAGTACCAGTAGTAGAAATAACAATAACTACAGGATCCTTTTCTGCTTCCAGATTATACTACAAATAATTGAACAAAGCAAGTTACAAAGTGACATTTGATAAATATTTGTGATCTTAGATATTACTTTCCATATTTTCTTTTCCCAAAGTTACAAAAAAAAGGTTCAATCTCATCTATATAAAAACCACAAACTCTTCAAGCAATTACAAGCTATTTTGGGGATGCAGCTTATCATCTTGCTTATTACTTTATTAACTCAATATTCAGAATCATCTGATCAGAAGAAATGAATGGTAGTCCGGCTATCAAAAAGCATGCCATCTGAGCTCAGAAGGTAGAAACAACCAGGGACTTGGAACATATGATTAACTTAAAAACAGCATTTACTTTACTATTATTTCATTTATTCACTGTTAACTTTTTTTTTTGTTTCATCTAAATTTGAAAATAGTAAGTTTTTTTTTTTTTTGGCCCTAACTCTGTAAATTCTTGCAATCTTCGGAGAAAAATATAAAATCAATACACAGAAACCTCTAGGCAAACTCTGGAAAATAAAGCCATCTGCACATTTATAGTGAAACTACCAGCAAGCTGGATCTCAGCATCTCTTCCACGAGACAATGGGCATGAGTTGAAACAAGAGCAGTCCTGACTTGAAGTAAGGAGAAACTTTTTCCATCATCAGGAGTGTGAGGTGGTATAATAGCCTGCCCAGAGAGGCTGGGCCTTCTCGATCCTTGGAGTTTTTTTTAAGACCAGACTGGATAAAATGCTGAGCAACCTGGTTTGACCTCATGGCTGACCCTGCTTTGAGCAAGAGGCTGGACCAGAGACCTGCTCCCTTCCAACCTGAATTAAGCTATGATCCCACACGCAAAACTGAACGGCAGCATTCTGAGCATGGTAATACTCACGCTAAGAATACTGTATAACTGCACTCAGACAGCTTAAATATGCAACTACTACAGCCTTTGCTTTGTCATGCGGAAAAACATCTTTGCATATACGTCACAATCACACAGTTACCCACAATCTGGACAATTTATCCGTAGAAAACTGGGGTGTGCTTATATAAACAGTTGAGATCATTTATAAATTCCGTGAGAGATCATCTGGTCCTATCTGCTACCTTTCACGTTACACTGCCCTTACTAAAACGTTCTGTGCTGTGGGGAAACAAAGTTAGCTGTAAACTAAGAAAAGTAGTCTCTCTGCTCCAGAGTCAATCATCATTGGCCCTTCCCTCTCTCCTTCTCCCAATTCACTTATTACCCTTTGCCATCTCTGCTATTTTCCATGGTTCTGTTTTATATGGGCTACTCCCTTTATTTTAGGTCATCAAGAACTGCCTGTGTTTAGTGTTCTATGTTCATAAATTCAGGTTTCATACAACCGCGCATTACTTTTCAAGTGAAAACCAGACTGTTTCCTTGATTATTCCAGTTTTCTACTAACACCTAGCTGCAGCACTGTAATAACATATTAACTGTCAGGTCAACCAAGCAATCCATTCTTTCACAGTACACCTACATGCTGTAAGTTTGAATCACGTGAAAAATTGTTTCACAGTCATAGAAACATTGTTTGGAAGTGACCTCTGGAGGTCATCCAGTCCAATCCCATGCCCAAGGCAGGGCTAACCAACACTGAATTCAGTCAGCCATGGCTGTAGCTGCATCGGAAAACCTCTAACAGTGGAGATTCCACTCTTCCGGGCAACATCATCTATCCAGAACTACTTCTACTAGTGTCAAATCTGAGTTTACCAATCTGCACTTTGTGGATTTTCCCTCTTGTGGTAGTCTTCCACTGCTGAGAAGAGCTTGACTCAAGCAGACTGCTTGACGTCACTCAAGGTCACTCCTTAGCCTCCTCTTTGCCATAAAGAGCAAGCCCAGACCCTTCAAACACTCCCTCTAGGTTTCAGTTTAAAATCACTCCTACCATTCAAAATTTAATAAAATAGTAGGATTACGAGACAACAAACATTGCAAGAGGTATTATGGTTTCAACACAAGCTTTAAGTATATACATATCTAATTCACATGCTTCTGATGCTTGACACATGCTTGTCTTTAACTTGTGAGAAGAGCAGTTTCAAGACTTCCATTCAAAATTTCACAGTTTGAACAGCTATTTTCTACATACTTTACTTAGTAATTCACTCAACTCTTATCTCCTCCTCAAGGCATATAAAATGCCACCGCTACGTCTACAATCCAGAAAGGTCAGGAATACAAAGAGACTAACAAGTGGTTTTGCGGTTATCATTTTTTCCAAGACTTTTGTGAAGAATCTAAAAATAGTTGCATGAAGCAACTTAAAGAACCACCTAGAACAGTATCCTGCCTCTGACAGCGCACAATACCATCTGCTGTTGTAGAACAGTAAAGTACAGTATAAGAGAACAGAGTAAGCATGCAAGGATATCCCGAGTACTTTGCCGGACTTCAGTGAGCTGTGGTCCAGGGACATTCCCAAGCAGAGGTTTTGTCTTTTACAAGTTCATGCAAACTCCTAGCACCCACAGATTCCTGAGGCAAGAACTTCCAGGACTGAACTATATAGTGTGCAAAAAAAGGCCTTAACGTTCCTGTTGCAATAACTGGGATTTTCAAAGCTTCCATACCTGATTTTACAGGTAAAAATAGAAGAGCTTCATCAATGCACTGTCACAAGCTACTACAGTATTCACAAACAAAAGCAAATACTTCAAGTACCAAATGCAAGGGTCTATTGATATCACATAAGAAGTTATGCTAATTATGTTCCATTAAAAAACAAAAAAGATACAAATGTAAAACTTAAAAGCTGGTATATTAGAACAGAGGCAAGATTAGTTCATTAAATTCTGATGAACTGGCTTTCTCCACTGCACGTTCTCCTCTGCAAACTTAAAGACAATGTTTTGGAAGCCAAACATTTGGGATAGATTCCTTGGGAAGAAAAGTCAAGGTCATCCGGCAAGCAGAAGGGCAGAGGTCCTGCACTGATTTGTGCCAATTATCAGGAAGTCTGATGCATATCTAGACCAACAAAAACCTTACATATAGTTTCTTACTGTCTTCCACTCCTTCCTGTATCCCTTGACATTCCCATCTTCAGCCCATTCTTTCTCTCCCTTTTGAATTAACTCCTCAGCTGAGGACAGCACTGCTGCACAACAGCACAGAGCAACCTGCTCAGGCTGCGTATGACTGCTGATGGAAAAAGACGTGATCAAACAGTCAAATGATGTCTTACCCAGAATAATACATATTGTGGCAAATGTGCTTATTCAGATCACTCCAAGAACGATCACGTGCAGTGTCCCAAGAACATATCCGTTTAGCCTCCTGTTTTATTGCTCCTACCTCACTTCATTTTAGTCTTTCATCAAAAAAAAAAAAAAAAGCAATCACAGTAAACAAATGAAATTTTAAACAACAGGACTAACCTACAAGAAAATGCAAAAGCTTGTGTTTTCCAAAACTTGACCACTCAGTGTTGCATGGCAACAGGATCACATTATGACTACCGACTCTGCAATCATCTATTCCACCCAAAAATCTTCACAGTAATCCTTTTAAGTGCTGACGAGGTCTGAGAAATACCCGACAGCAGCAAAAAGAAGGGCATTCTCCTAACTGACAAACACACCCAAACCAGAACCCCTCTTACTTCCTCACTTGATGCATACGCTCACCTTCCTGAACCATGCAGGTTGTAGAACAAAGCCTCAGATTTAACATGCCCAAAAGATTTCAGAACTGGCCATGCCACACTCAAGTGAGCTCTTGCTCCAGTAAACTGTGCCCTTCTGCCTTCCCCTCCCTAATTACACCTATGCTTTTAGATGCTCTCTTTATTCATAGTAAAGGGTGAGGAAAAGCCCAATTGGTGAGCTGCAGAAAATATTTTTTTCCTAAGGGCCTAACTCTCAGCTTCTCAATTCAGTGCATCTTTCCAACTCATCAATAACCCTCAGCTCTGACTTGTATTGCCAAATTTGACAAATTACATTTAGTCAAGTGGCAGATCAATAGCAAGGCTAGAAATATCCCACCTACACCATTCCAGAAAGTAATCTCCAAAGCGCTCAAAGGCTGAAGGAATTAAATGTAAGAACATAAGAAAAATCTTCATATTCCTTGGCTGCACAAAACTTTTTAACAATTTGCTACATATTGAGTGAGTGTTGATTCAAGAGTCATGTCCAGCTACCAAATAAATAGTGTTTCTCCAATAAAGTAACTCGCTAAAAGAGTACTAAATTATTATTAACTTCTTCACATATTTACAAGTACATGAAAAAAAATTTCTTTCAGGTGGTGTTTTCTGCTTATCTCATACTGTTTACTCTTTTCTACAGCTGAAAGTAGAGAGCAGTTCTGAGTACTTTATGAAGAGAACTCTACTCCAAAGTGTTCTTAATTACAGAGAGACACTAACAGTTTTCAGACCCTTACCTTCAAGTAATGGTAATTAATTAAAAGCTACTTCCTTGCTCCAGCCAAGCTATTTATTTCTTTCTGGAATATATCTCAAGTGTAGCTAATGTGAACTGGGATGAGTCCACACGTTAAACAATCTCAACAAGACCCCACACAAAAACTCAAGGTCATGCTGCAGTACATACTTAACAGAACACAGGAGCTCAGTACAACACCGAACAGCAGCTAAAACTGCAATAATCATTTAATCACATTTAATAGCAGCTGGTATATTTTAGGTAGGTGCATATGCATAGCACTCACTGTTATTAAGAGCCACCACTCAAGCACAAAGAAAAACGCAGCCCAAACATCTATTTTTCAAAACAGCATGGAATAGCTCACCTTGTCCATTTCACTTATACAGTACATATCAGCTTCAAGCCCATGGGCACCTGCTTGCTGTTGTATTTCCTCAGCTATGGCTTTTGCCTGCCCCTTTTGTGTTGCATACAGGAGTAAAAACCTCCTTTTTAGGTTACAGCACATTTTTTTTTTAAAAACACAGCACTTTTTTTTTTTAAGAGATGCAAAAAAAGGAAGAAAAAACAAATGTGCATTTACTGCATGCAGAACAGCAAGAGACTGCTTTGTTTATCACATTAAAGAGCTACCTTAGAGGTCAGCAGTACTGGTGTTTAACTTGCAAATTAGGAATCTACTTGAAGGAGAAGCCACTTCGCAGAATCAAGCTGTTTGCAGGCCAAGGTTGAGAAGGACCAGGTAGTATTGTTCTTATGTGCTGTACTGCCTCAGTATTGTAGTAATATTGCAATATGTCCAGTATCAACAACCTAGTTTGTAAACAAAGCAAAAGAGAAACAACTTTCATGAAAATGAATACCACGTGTTACACAATAAGTTTTATTTTTCATTTTAAGTCAGTGACAGCTGTGGTTATTTTTCTGACCTGCATTCAAAAACAAAAAAACCCACATAGACCTGGTGAAGTCAAACTACAACCCCTGAAAAAGTGAGGAAAAAAAATTCAATTTCTTCTTCTCTGAAGTCAGTAAGATTTTTGCCTTAATACCTTTATGCTTTACTGTCTATTAACTGTATATTTTAGAATACAAACATTATTTTCCATTCCATATTTCCAAAGAGTTCCTTACACAAGTGCTACTATGAGATTTACTTGTTTAATTATTTTTTCCCCCCAAAATAAGAAAACATCTTATAGACACCTTCTGTTATGTGAACCGCCACTCCCTCCCCAACTCTTGCAAGAAGTAGGATGAATGAGATGCCTATCTTTATTCATTCACCTGGCTCCTAAAACCTATACCTTTTCTTAGATTAAAAACCTCTCTCATTCACTTTTTTTTTAATGACTTGACACATACACAACCCCACAGACCTAAAGACGACTCCTAGACGCAGTGAATGAAAAAGACAAGTAGAATGTCTCTTGTGCAAATACTGCAAATTATTCTTTCACCAATATTTTGCTATTTCTATGGAGCTGCAGTAGAACTCAAATATCCAGAATTAAACTGCTAACTGGACATTATTTCAGATGCAAATTTGAGATTTTTTTCAAATGCTTGGGCCCTATTTGCTATACTTCACCTACTGACCCCACACAGGTTCAACTACACGAC